TAGTAACAATACCTATACTACCTTGGTAACAATACTTATACTACCTTGGTAACAATACTTACACTACCTTGGTAACAATACTTATACTACCTTGGTAACAATACTTACACTACCTTAGTAACAATACCTATACTACCTTGGTAACAATACCTATACTACCTTGGTAACAATACTTATACTACCTTAGTAACAATACTTACACTACCTTGGTAACAATACTTACACTACCTTAGTAACAATACTTACATTACCTTGGTAACAATACTTATACTACCTTGGTAACAATACTTATACTACCTTGGTAACAGTGCTTACACTACCTTGGTAACAATACTTATACTACCTTGGTAACAATACTTACACTACCTTGGTAACAATACCTATACTACCTTGGTAACAATACTTACATTACCTTGGTAACAATACTTACACTCCCTTGGTAACAATACTTACACTACCTTGGTAACAATACTTATACTACCTTGGTAACAATACTTACACTAGCTTAGTAACAATACCTATACTACCTTAGTAACAATACCTATACTACCTTGGTAACAATACTTATACTACCTTGGTAACAGTGCTTACACTACCTTGGTAACAATACTTACACTACCTTAGTAACAATACTTACATTACCTTGGTAACAATACTTATACTACCTTGGTAACAATACCTATACTACCTTGGTAACAATACCTACACTACCTTGGTAACAATACTTATACTACCTTGGTAACAATACTTACACTACCTTGGTAACAATACCTATACTACCTTGGTAACAATACTTATACTACCTTGGTAACAGTGCTTACACTACCTTCGTAACAATACTTACACTACCTTGGTAACAGTGCTTACATTACCTTCGTAACAATACTTACACTACCTTGGTAACAATTTGTTTCTAATATATATCTGATAATTTTGTATTTTTGGATATACCTGATAACTTCGTATTTCTAATATACCTGATAATTTCGTATTTTTTAATATATCTAATAATTTCGTATTTCTAATATATATCTGATAATTTTGTATTTGTTAATATACCTGATAATGTCGTATTTCTAATGTATCTGATAATTTTGATTTATTTTTTCTATATATAATACAGATCTTCGTTCACGAACAGAAACGACGACCACTGTTCATGCAGTAAAGAGAAGATCTAAACAGGCTTAATGAACTTATAGAGGAATGGATCGTCTGCTGAAACCCCGACCGTTTTTAATTTTTTGTCTTATCTGTGTTTTTTGTTTGTTGTGGTAAGTTTATTTTATTCATGTTATCTTAGGGAAGTCGGGGATTTCTGCTTAGTTTAAATTTTTTCATGTGTGTTCAGACTGATTTTTATGTATCTTGTACGTGTCTAATTATATACTGATTCGATTACCTTCTTTCTTTAGTTCTTTTTATCTTAATTACATCTTGTGAAATCTGTACTTGAAAAATCCATTTTCTTTGGGGGGAGTTGGTATAGAGTGTTGTTCACTTTTTATCCGTTTGTATTCTCTGTTCTATTTTTTTTCCTTTGCATTGTAGTCTCCCGTTGAGACAGCGGTAAGTCTACGGATTTACAACGCTTAAATCAGAGGTTTGATCTCCTAGGTGGACACAGCAAATAGCTTCTGGTTTAAAATTTTCTTTCTCGTAGTTTTAAGTTGCAGAGAGATTATAAACCAAACTTTCTTTTTTAATACTCTGGCCTTGCTGTGTGTAGCTTAAAAGTATGAATAGTCTAATTTTAATTGGCTTATAACTGACATCATCGTTTTACACTCGGTCGGTTGAATAGAATACGTTCTTAAACTAATCCAGTTTTATTGTTGTTTTTTGTAGCGCGAAGATACTCAATAAGCTCCCTATTCTCTGTCTACCACGGATAATCGAACCCCGGATTTTAGCGTTCTAAGTTCGTAAACTTTCCACCGACCCATCGGGAGACACAATTGACAGTAAGAGTTAAAATAGCGAATATGTTTGCAGTTAAACATAATTAATTGCTTTCGTAATCCTAGAATTGGTCTCAATAAAGAAATTATTCGAAATTCTACTACACTAGAATCCGGGGTTCGATTTCTCGCGGTAGACAGAGCGTAAATAGCCCATTCTTTGGCTTTGGGCCTAAAACAACAACAACAACAAAGATTCCTTTTCAAACTCCCCCAGTGGGTCAGCGATAAGTTTACGGAGTTACAACACTGAAATCCGGGGCTCGATACCCTGCGGGGGACCAAGCGGATATTGCACATTGTGCAGCTTTGCGCTAAAAGAACAACATTGGTAAAAGCAGCCTAATGGATTGGCCTAGTTCTTTGCATATATATATAACATTGGTAAAACTGCCTAATGGGTTGGCCTAGTTCTTTGAATATATATATATATATAACATTAGGTAAAACTGTCTAATGAGTTGGCCTAGTTCTTTGAATATATATAACGTATATATATATAGAGAGAGAGGGGGGGGGACAGACAAAGAGAGGGCATTTTTCACTTTAAACCATTACTTTGGTGCCAAATAACAATAGGCGGATATTATTTTCTAAAGCACGTGTTTTTTTAGTAAGTTTCCTTGCTCCCCTAGTGGTTCGTGATAAGTTTGGGGGCTTTTAACGCTAAAAATCGGGCAGAACACAAATAGCCCATTATTGTATAACTTACAGTAACAACAAACAAACAGGTAAAGTAATGTGTGTCGTCAGCGTTTCGCCTAAACTATAGCGCCACCACGTGAGCTGAACATAAGAGTTGGGTGTTTTCTTACACTTGCTTGCTTAGGTAGTGAATCGTACAATTTATGTGTACAAAGCGCAGAAAGAATTATCTTTTAATTATAATTAGTTTATAAATAAATACAACAGAATGACTGTGCTCTAGATAACTGTTTTTTGGCTCCATCTTATCCCAGACTATCGTCTGCCAATAGATAGATAACATGGAGCTCAAATCGGCAAAAGTATGCTTGTTTTTGAATTTCGCGCAAAGCTACACGAGGGCTATCTGCGCTAGCCGTCCCTAATTTAGCAGTGTGAGACTAGAGGGAAGGCAGCTAGTCACCACCACCCACCGCCAACTCTTGGACCAACGAATATAACGCCCCCACGGTTGAAAGGGCGAGCATGTTTGGTGTGACGAGGATTCGAGCCCGTCACCCTCAGATTGCGAGTCGAGCGCCCTAACCACCTGGCCATGCCGGGCCTCGGCAAAAGTAATCACTATGTGAACGTGCTTTATTATATATATAAATAATCACAAAAATTTAAAAAACTCTATTAAATCTTTAATTTTTAATATAATTTAATGCATAACAAATGGTGACTTAAATACAAGTAATAAACGATCTCATAATATAAAATTTGTTACTTTTTTCTTTAATTGGACACTCAGCGTTTCGCTTTACAGCTTCTCCAGGAGCGTTCCACTAAAACACAAACCATAACTGGTAGTACAAAGTTTTAATTGGTTTAAATAATTAATGGTATAAATTTGATAATTGTTTTTTAAAACTCATAACGTAGGTTAATTAATATATGGAATTGTACACGGACTTTTCTCTACGTTAAAGTATTTTTATTTGCGAGCTTTCGGCCCTCTTACCGGAGAGAAAAGTCCATGTATAATTCTATATATATATACATAAATTTGGTGTTATAAGATCGTTTCTTGCTAGTATTACAATGTTTTTATAGAACAATATCAACTAGAGAAATTAAATAAATGGTAACTGTGTTCGTAAACAGCAATTAATTTATATGAATATCAAATTGTTGGAAACAGTATATATATATATATATAATATTAATAAAGTGTTTCATGTATTTCTATTTTGAAAGTACAACGACAATGTTTAAATTTATTTTAGATAAATTATATTAGTTGGTAAGATCTTACATCGAGTAATTCTAGAAGTTTTACTAAAAACCATTTGTACACAACTGAGTTTTCGTAATAGTATATAGTCAGTGATTTTTAATGGAACATTAGAACCAGTTGAATGTCTTCTAGTATATAGTCAGTGATTTTTAATGGAACATTAGAACCAGTTGGATGTCTTCTAGTATATAGTCAGTGATTTTTAATGGAGCATTAGAACCAGTTGAATGTCTTCTAGTGTATAGTCAGTGGTTTTTAATGGAACATTAGAACCAGTTGAATGTCTTCTAGTATATAGTCAGTGATTTTTAATGGAACATCAGAATCAGTTGAATGTCTTCTAGTATATAGTCAGTGGTTTTTAATGGAACATTAAAACCAGTTGAATGTCTTCTAGTATATAGTCAGTGGTTTTTAATGGAACATTAGAACCAGTTGAATGTCTTCTAGTATATAGTCAGTGATTTTTAATGGAACATTAGAACCAGTTGAATGTCTTCTAGTATATAGTCAGTGGTTTTTAATGGAACATCAGAACCAGTTGAATGTCTTCTAGTATATAGTCAGTGTTTTTTAATGGAACATTAGAACCAGTTGAATGTTTTCTTTTCTGTAGGTCAACCGTCCGCTTTGCACCGGTGTCGGTAACTTGGGTGAGTGAGAAGAAAAGTTCGTGCAAACCACGTGTAAACGTCGTGTTTTTGAAAACTCACAAATGTGCCAGTTCAACTATACAAAATATATTTTTTAGGTATGGAGACGCCCATAACCTAACGTTTGTTCTGCCTTATGAACGTAACTATCTCGGTCATCCTTTACCATTCAATCACAAGATGATTCCCGATCCGTCCCGTTTTAATCGAACGTATAATATTTTAGCTCATCACACACGTTTTAACCAAACCGAGATAAAAAAAGTGATGCCAGAAGATTCCATTTACGTCACCATAGTCCGCGATCCTTTGGAGCTCTTCGCATCCCTGTACTCTTATTATGAACTGGACAAAGCTTACAAGTTGAAATTAGAGAATCTACATCGCGTTTCGTTGAAAACATTTGAATATAAACTCACATTCAAAAGACTGTTTAGAAAACTTGGTCTCAATCAGATGCTGTTCGATCTGGGCTTCAGTCCAAACTCTTTTCGAAATCTCAAAGCCGTTTCTGACTTTATTAATTACACCGACTCGGTTTTCGATCTAGTGATGGTTGCAGAACGAATGGAAGCGTCTTTGGTGTTGCTGAAAGACCTCATGTGTTGGGATTATAACGACGTTATCGCTTTCCGACATAATGCAAGAAACGACACAAACAAAAACAACCTCCCCCCCAAAATTCAGACACTTATACGACATCTTAATACGGGAGACGAAATGCTCTACCAGCACTTCAAACATAAACTTGAAGACCGGATACGTGAATTTGGTGAAGACAAAATGGCCAAAGAAATCATTGAGCTTCGGAGAAGAACTAGTTTGTTTTATAAGTTTTGTGTGAAAAAAGAAATGCCTATTTCGAAAGCCCAAGTTCTCAAGGAGAAAACCCATTCAAACGTGATTACGTTTTTGGCGAGTGATTCTGGCGGCAACGAAACCTGTAACCGAATGATAAACCGAGAGTTAGAGTATACGGACAAACTCCGTTTCAAGCAGCGAGATATGTATCACGTCGTGAAAAAGAAAACGACTTCCAAAAAATCAAGACCTCTCAACCGAACTCAGCCGAGTAAGATAACTGTTGAAAAAAACTATCACTCTCATCAGAGTAATGACAAAAATATTCCAGCTTCTTCAGCTGTGGATCCTAAGACTAGGAATGTCCACTTATGATACTTTATAAACCGAAACGTCGACTTCTGATAATCAGTTTAAATTAAGTGCTATGGCAGTTGCTACTGTATAGAACTGCTTTCTGAATAGTAGTTCTGTAAAAACAATCTATGTTAGTGCAATATTAAACTATTTTAATGTTAAAAAAACACGCAATAAACATCACTAAGATTGTATTACCATGAAACACCTTTGGCAGCCATCTATATGTAACTGTGTTAATTATTAATATACTTACCTTGTTTTTATTAAATCATTACAATCAACGTTTTGTTGCGGTTTATTTGGTGTGATTGTGTTTGAATATTTTGGAACCTGAAACACTTCCATTGTTGGGACTGGATGTAGAAGGTTCTTAAAAGGGTGCTGGGCCCTCTAGCGGCTCTGAGGTAAGTTTGAAGGCTTATTAACCCTAAATACCTGGTATCGATACTCGTGGTGGGCACAAAACAAAGAGCTTAGTGACCTATTCTGTAACTCTGCTCTTATCAACAAAGAAACGAAAGAGTAATTAAGGGGGTTTCACCTATTCTGTAACTCTGCGCTTATCAACAAAGAAACGAATGAGTAATTAAGGAGGTTTCACCTATTCTGTAACTCTGCGCTTATCAACAATTAGTTAGCTGTTTTACAGTTTCCTAACAAACAAATGTGTTATTCAAGTTTTTCTGGTTTCAAGTTGAAAGGAGACAGGAGTAATTTGGTTCTTACAAGTAGTGTTTTACGGACATTAGACTTAGTTTTCAAGGATTTCTAAAACACATTATAAATTACTTGAATATTTCGAAATCAACACATAATTATGATATAGTCTTTGTGAACTTCAGTACATTTGATTTTGTTTTTGTGCATTATACTAATATAATGTAATAAAGAATATGTTAATAGCACAACGTGGGTGTAATATGTTAGGCAACCTCATATGGAAGTCTAAGAACAGATATTTCGTTGGTTTTTTTATTGTTTCTGTACAATGAACTACATTGAAATACTCTATAGATGGGCAGATCACAGATAGCCCTTTGTGTAACTTTGTGCTTAACCACAAACAAACAAATACTCTATAAAATTAATAAACAAATACTTTAAACTTATAAAATGGAGGTTAGAGAGCATGTTTATATAAACATTTAGTTTACTTTGGAACTGTTAAGCTTTTCCATAAATAAAGAGTAGTTTAAAAAAGAAACAAAAATCCTAGAAATGTCGTCGATTTTGGTAAAAAACTGGCCCTAATCATCAGATCAAGTCGGTGCTGTTAAATTCATAAAAAAAGGCCCAATGTATAGATTTTAATAAGAAGAAATTATTTTACAAACGGATACCTAACCATATTTATCGAATTTCTCGAGGACAGTCAATATTTCTAAATCCAAGGCTAAAGTAGCGTGAGGTTGGAATGACCTGTGGTCAGGAAACACGAATTTCAATCTATGTGTCGCAGGATCGAATCTTCTCACCGAACCTACTAGCCCTATCAGCCGCAGGGGCATTGTAATGTAACGATCAATCCCACTATTCGATTAGAGTAGCTCAAAAGTTGGCGGTGGGTGGTGTTGAGTATCTGCCTTTCCTCTACTCTATCACTCCAAAACTAGGGACAGATAGCCATTTCGCGAAATTCAACAAACAAACAAACAAGTTAAAGTACTCCGGCAGGTGGCAGTACTTCTAACTAGGGACAGATAGCCATTTCGCGAAATTCAACAAACAAACAAACAAGTTAAAGTACTCCGGCAGGTGGCAGTATTTCTAACTAGGGACAGATAGCCATTTCGCGAAATTCAACAAACAAACAAACAAGTTAAAATACTCCGGCAGGTGGCAGTACTTCTAACTAGGGACAGATAGCCTTTTCGCGAAATTCAACAAACAAACAAACAATTTAAAGTACCCCGGCAGGTGGCAGTACTTCTAACTAGGGACAGATAGCCATTTCGCGAAATTCAACAAACAAAAAAACAATTTAAAGTACCCCGGCGGGTGGCAGTACGTCTAACTAGGGACAGATAGCCATTTCGCGAAATTCAACAAACAAACAAACAATTTAAAGTACCCCGGCAGGTGGCAGTAACCTTGGTTTCGTAGGGATAGAAATAGCAATAGTCTAGGTAAGCGTGACTGTCAGTGTCTTATGTGGACATCCATATCAAGAAATGAGGCACTGGTGTGAGAGAATCGGTAAGGGCTGAGTGTAGATGGTGGACAAGTCGGGGCTGGGTGTAGTTTGTATACAAAGTCGAGACTGGACGTAGTTGGTGGACAAAGTCGGGGCTGGACGTAATTGGTGGGCAAAGTCGTGGCTATGCATAGATGGTGGACAAGCTCGGGGGTGGGCATGATTGGTGAACAAAGTCGGGGCTGGGCATAGTTGGTGGACAAACTCGGAGCTGAGTGTAGTTGGTAAACAAAGTCGGGGCTGGGCATAGTTGGTGGACAAAGTCGGAGCTGGGTGTAGTTGGTAAACAAAGTCGGGGCTGGGCATAGTTGGTGGACAAAGTCGAGGCCGAGTGGAGTTGGTGGACAAAGTCGGGGCTGGGCATAGTTGGTGGACAAATTTGATGACCTTCTCGGACAATATCTAAGATATAGTCAATGTAACGGATAAAGAGATCGGAGAAAATATCATCAATACTTACGTAATAAGGCCAACAATGTTCTTTTCAGTATTTTTGTCATCGTGCTCCACGTTGAACGTGTGCAATTAGAACATTTGTATTTTCTCACTTTTTAACGATTATTTGTGAGCCTAATTCCACTGGAACACGGTCTTCACTGCCTGACGAATGGCGTCTACTCGAAACTTTGCCCAAAATATACAAGAAAAAATTTTCATTCAGACATGTTAACTTATTCTTTAATATCATTTATCCAAGATTTTCTTTTCACGTCCTCCGGTAGACCATTAATTCACATACTCGCCGCTAGAGGATGAAACTGTGAAACACAAATAACTGTTTTAACGTTCAACACTCAGAGTGTCTCACTAAACCCTACAAACTCTACGTCGGTTTCCATAAAAATACACTTCACAACGAATATTTGTTTGCAGTTAAGCACAAAGCTACACAATGGGCTATCTTTGCTCTGCCCACCACGAGTATCAAAACCCGGTTTCTAACAGTGTAGGTCCGCAGACATGCCGCTGTGCCACCGGGGAGCCTTAACAGCAAGGGTACAAAAAATAATGTTGGAATGGTATATTTGAATATGTGAAGAGCTGCAGGAGACTTTTCTTCTCCATGTAGTCATTGGTACAGAATTAAATAATACTTAATTTACTATTAAATTTAACGTACACGTAACTAGTACATGTCGTCGTCGTCAGTAATGGGAACGTTATGATGTGACGGTCAATCCTACTATTCGATTAGAGTACCCCAAGAATTGGCGGTGGGTGGTGGCGACTAGCCGCTTTCCCTCTAGATATGGCGGCGTATTTTACGACCTTCTGTACGGTGTTATATAATCTACCTCTTCTAAGTGTGTTGCTTTAATGACATAACAATTTTGTTTGTTGAACTGATTATTTTCTATAAAGTTGGTCCTTGCGTTACTTTCAAACATTTAAACAGCTATAACATTTCCCGGGAAATTCGACACATTATTACTTTACATTTCCGCTAGTATTTGTTATCTATCCAGTCATTAAATTGTCTTATAACGTTAAATAGTCCTTTAATTCAACACAAAATTCAAGTAATTTTAACTAGAAAGTCCGCCATTATCAACCTAGAAACGTGACCTTAAGAATACCATTTCCCTCCAGTTAGCGGCCTTACATGTTCAGGTGGTTAGGGCGCTCGGCTCGCAATCTGCGGGTCGCGGGATCGAATTCCCGTCCCATCCAATATACTCGCCCTTTCAGCCGTGAGGACGTTATAGTGTGACGGTCAATTCCACTATTCGTTGGCAAAAGAGTAGCCCAAGATTTAGCGCTGGGTGGAGATAACTAGCTGCTTTCCCTCTAATCTTACACAGCTAAATTAGGGACGGCTAGTGCGGATAGCCCTCGTGTAGCTTTGCGCGAACATCCAAACAAACCAAACTCACCAGTTATTGTCACTGTAGGCTGTCCGTTTGACAGGAAATTACGACTTAGAAAGCAATGTATATACATAGAATGAGGACGATCTCTTCTCTCTAAGTTCTAACTCTAGAACTATACTATTAGATCGGATATATTTTAATATATAAAATATCTGAGTTGACAAGTTATACTATCTGTGAGCTATGGCTTCGCTACGTATGATAATGAAGTTTACATTAATTGTACCAGGAATATCTGGGACTGCATTCATTAAGCTTGTATGATATATAATTATTTTTGTTCCATTATATTTCATTTGCATCGTGTTTGAGCTTAATGTAATATTTACATAGCTAACAATTTTTGTTTACTCGTTTGTTTGCTTAATTTCGTTTAAAGCCACTCCAGAACCGTCTGTGCCAGTCGTCCTTAACTTATTAACATATTAGCTAAGGTAGAATCGGAGCTGTTGGTACTGTGATCTTTACCTACCAAACTTTAGCGGGAAGAAAAATGGTTCACAGTAATTTATCTAACCATGCACGAAACTTACTTTATCCGCTAAATTATACTATCAAAAGAAATGGAGAGATAAAACCGTGGATTTTATCTCTAGTTCCGTATATATACACCTGGAAAAAAGTTAAGCACCCCCGTGTTTTTTTCAAGTGATTCAGATTCGACGTTCTTGTGACTGATTATAAATTACCATTCAATCTAAACGTGTTTATCAAATGAAATTATGCATTATTGGGCACAAGAAAACAAG